CTTAGAAAACACGATGCTAGTTATGCTATTGAAAACTTATTTGAAAAGTTTATTGAAAAACTGTCCAAAAATGCAAACAACAAAGTAGACAAGAAGACACTTCTTCGGGAGTTCATGGTCGACTTGACAAAAACGGATTTCAAGCAATGTTTGAAGATCTTTGAAAGCTGTTCAATGGTAGACAAAACGCTAGAGCAAGCTGAATCACTCAAAACTATTTGTGATGCCTGTGATTTAGTTGAGCTTGCAATCGACTGTATTCGAGCTTACGAAAATCCGTCCAACTTGGAGTTTGCATTTCGTATTATGGAATGTCTTCCTGAGCGAAGTCAAGCGGCCCTATTGATGGGCGAAAATCCTAGCAAAGTAAGACAGTTCAACCGAATGAATGATCAAGCCGATCAAATTGAGTACTATCTATCGATGTTAGAAGTGCTTCGAGACTATGGCACAAATATCACCGTCCAGGATCTAGAGGCAATTGTCAACAGCAAAACTACAACAGCTGCTCAAAAGTTCTTTGAAAAAGTCATCAAGAACTTTTGCTCAACATCATTTTCAGCTACTGCCGACATTTCACTAGAATGGAAAAACTTTTTTTGGAATCTGCAGGACCTGCGAAAAAACTGTCTTAGCGCCCTTACCTCGGAGCAACTGGTGGAACTGTGCGTCAATAGTTTACTCTTTTCAGGCAACAAAGTGTACATTCAACTAGCTCTCCATCACATCAGTTTCAAAAACTCCAAAACTTCCAGTAAGAAGGTGGCTCATGATAAAGGCCGAGAGATGCTAAAGAAAGCTGCCACCGACTACATAAAATTTGCCAATCCAATTCAAGACAATAACTTGGAACTAGCCAGAATCTGTTTACAGGCGTTTAAAGAGAACAATGGTGAGAACACTGGTGGGGGCGGCGATGGCGACGACGACGAAATTCAAGAAGAGCTCGATTTAATCAATGGCCTTAACATAATGTACGATGACTTTAACTTTGACATGTTGCCCATCAAAGTGAAACAGCACGCCCAGCCAAGAGTTGACTTGATCGAATCACTTTTAAAGTGTTCCAAAAACTCGTACGCTCAAGTTGAAAAAGTATTGCGCTTGAGCAAATTACTCCGAGTTTGCAAGGCGGACAGCGACGAGAGACGCGAGGGCATCATACTGTCGATGATTGGAAAGGAGGCAGTCAACGAAAGCGACTATCAGGCGGCCCACCAGGTGTGTCAGATGATTCTACAGCGTAACCTGCAACACGGATGGGACTTGTGTTACCTCTTTGCTAAGTTGCCATACCTGGAAGATGTGATGACCGTCGACCAGCGACTGGACTACCTCTCCTTCGCACTTGCCTACTGCCCGGAGACAGACATCGATGCTCACTTTAGCATTCTCCACGAAATCAAAAGCATCAAGTTGGCTGAGAAAAACCGAGCCACATTCAAGGACAATTCATTTATTGAGTTCAGAGGCGAGCAGAACGTTCGATAAAGTGCAATCTTCTTCTTGTTGATCTTGTTTCAATTGTTACAGCGTTTTTATTAAACAACATCACTTCTTTTTGAAGTAACTGGCAATGCTTTTCATACCGCTTTTGTCTACCTTGCTCAGTTCACGTTGTGCTCGGCTAACCTTTTGTTTCTGCAAAAAACAATCATTAAAAAACGGACACTTCGAAAGTGTTTTTACCTTGTTGGACTCAGATGCCTGCTTTTGCTTATCACAGGCATCGTCAGTGTGCGCACTTTGCACGACAGACTTGTGATCACTGTCGGTCTCGATCTTGCGCTTTTGAAAGCAAGTTAAAAGTTATCGTCAAAAAAGTAACATCACCACTAATTGTATACCTTGTTGCTGACGGCTTTGGTAGTGTTAGTTGAGGTGCTTTCACTGCAATCGGGAATACTGCAATAACAGGTGGACGTTTAGTGCATTAGTGACGATTGTCATCTGAACTTACTTTAGTTGACGGCGCAAAACGCTGACGATATCAGGCGGTATGTAGTCAGAGATCAGCTCGAATGCAAGCACTTTATATTCGCCTAGAAAAGAAATAAAAAGCAATTAAGCTGTGTCTTGATGAGTAATCTAAAGTATCGCACTACCCTAAAATAATGTCCTTGGGGAAAGCGCAAAGGAGATACTGCCGACTCGTGTGACAAGTTTATTTGGCAAATACTGCCGTCAGCTCATTGATCTTTATCAACTAATATAAACGCACGAGGGATATTTCCAACGAAGTAACCACAGTTTATTTAGCATCACTCTCCGGTCTCGCTTATTTGCCAGTTCATCACAGATTTTCCGATTTTCATCCACCAGCAATGGCTGCCTTGCTTAAGTGCCTTCAATTCGGAATTCCCCTAGACCCTTTACCGAGTCATAGCGGCCGTGACGAAAGAGTAGCGCACGCACCAAACAGGGTTCACCATTTGGCACCAAATGAATTTGATTTGGCGGTTAAGAATGCTCTGCGATACTTTCCACCTAAGCACCACGCTCTTCTGGAGAAGGAATTCCGCTCTGAGCTGACAAACTATGGACACATTTACATGTATCGCTTCTTGCCACAGTTCGAAATTAAAGCCTACCCAATTGACTGCTACCCGGCGAAATGCAGCGAAGCAGCAAGCATCATGCTTATGATCATGAACAATCTCGATAAAGAGGTGGCACAGTTTCCACAAGAGCTGGTCACCTACGGCGGCAATGGACAGGTCTTCTCCAACTGGTAAGTCTCCAACAGGTGCTGATGCAATCGCCGACACTAATCAGCTTCAAACACGTAAAAGGGCTCAATTCTGGCTGACAATGCAGCACCTCTCCGCCTTGACACGAGAGCAGACACTGGTGATGAACTCCGGGCACCCGTTGGGTCGCTACCCGAGCCTGAGCTCCAGTTCTCGAATGATCATTTCCAATGGCAACATGGTGCCCAACTATTCGAGCCGTGAACACTACGATCGCTACTTTGCTCTGGGCGTAACCATGTACGGACAGATGACGGCAGGCAGTTTCTGCTACATTGGACCGCAAGGCATAGTGCACGGAACGACCATTACAATTCTCAATGCGGCGCGCAAGTACCTCAATACTGACAACCTGGCCGGTAAAGTGTTCGTTTCCTCGGGACTTGGCGGAATGAGCGGTGCCCAGCCAAAGGCAGCAGTCATTTGCGGCTGCGTTTCGGTGATCGCCGAAGTGAGCCTAGCAGCACTGACCAAGAGGAAAAATCAGGGATGGCTAATGGAGATAATCGACGACCTGAATGTGCTCATTGAACGAATCAAGGTGGCCAAGCAAAATCAAGAAGTGGTTAGCATTGGCTTTCACGGCAACATTGTACACCTGTGGGAGCGACTGGCACTTGAACATAAAAATAGCAAGGAGTTGCTCGTTGAGCTAGGCTCCGATCAGACGTCCTGCCACTGTCCCTTCACAGGTGGATATTATCCGGCTGATTTGAGCTATGAAAATGCAAACGCACTCCTCAAGAGCGACCCAGATAAGTTCAAGCGACTATGCCAGGCAAGTTTGGTGCGACAAGTGAACGCAATCAACTATCTCGCCGAAAACGGACTCAACTTTTGGGACTACGGAAATGCATTTCTCCTGGAAGCCCACCGAGCTGGTGCAAACTTGAGCCCTCATAAAACTGCTTTTGGCCTTACATTCCGCTATCCATCATATGTACAACACATTATGGGGGACATTTTTTCGCTTGGCTTTGGGCCCTTCCGATGGGTTTGCACTTCAGCAAATGAAAAAGACCTGCAAACAACTGACCAAATTGCCTTAAATGTTATGCAAAAGCTTTGCGAACGCGAAGGAATTGATGAAGAGGTTAAAAAGAATTACATTGACAACATAAAGTGGATACGAAATGCTCATGATCACCGACTGGTCGTCGGCTCTCAGGCTCGCATTTTGTACTCCAACCATGAGGGTCGAGTCAAATTGGCAGTTGCCTTCAATGAAGCGGTACGCAAAGGAGAACTTAAAGGACCGGTTGTGATTTCTCGAGATCATCACGATGTGAGTGGAGCTGACAGTCCGTTTAGAGAGACTTCAAATGTCTACGACGGATCAGCATTCACCGCGGACATGGCAATCACTACAGCAATCGGAAATGCCACTAGAGGAGCTACTTGGGTGGCCATTCACAACGGAGGAGGTAAGAGTGAACTATCAGTTTACTGAATAATACTGAATGTCGTTTGTCAATGTTAGGAGTTGGCTTTGGAGAAGCGGTTAATTGCGGATTTGGCATGCTTTTGGACGGCTCCAATGAGGCGCAAGAAAAAGCCGCCAACATTTTGTTCTGGGATGTGAGTATTCATCACGCCAAAGAAAGTTGATGTGGAAACTAATGACAACACTAATTTAGGTTACGAACGGAATCAGCAGAAGAAGCTGGAGCGGCAACGCGAATGCCATCAAAACCATTACAGAGATACAAAAGAATAATGGTAACATCAGTGTTAACGTACCTTCGGAAAGCTTATTTTCGCCAGACACATAATCGCTGACTTTGTAGCCAGAAAGGTTCTTGCCGATGCCTTGGCTAATCAGAGATTTCTCGATATTTTTAAACTTTAATCCAAGCCATTTCAATGTCTTCTCTTGAGAATATTTAATAAAGAGTTCGTCCTCAAAATCTAGTTTGAACATTTTGTCATTAAATATGTTGAATACAAGAAATAATAAAAACACTACCTTTAACATCGGCAACGCACTTTAAAACATTTTCAGGGTACAACTTTTGAAATAATTCAAACTTCTCAGGAGGGCTTATATTTTCAGAACAAATGTCGAACAAGTTTTTAAATCGCACTGTTTCCTGCAACCGAATGATGTTTTATACCGAGTTTTGATATACAAAACTTACCTTGTAGATGAGGGGAATGAGCAAGAATAAGGGATCGATGGGCGTGACCATGTAAATGTTACCATCTGCAAAAAGCATCGAGTTGAAATATAAAATAATAAATAGCCACACCAGTACCATTATTCAGATTGTTGTTTAAAAACCACGAATAGAAGCGATTTTGCTGAACAGCAAGCTCGTAGAGGCGATTCTGCTTTGGCTCGTAGTAATACGTGCAAACACTGCCATCCTTGGGGTGCTTACACTGAATGCAGCTAAAACTGGTTGATCCGCCGACATCGGGAATGACAAAAAGCTTGGACATGCTGTTGCAGAGAGCGACAACCAGAAAATACCGCCAAACAAAAACAACAAAACAACAGTAAGTACGTCTTCTGTGAATGCTTTGGACGGACAGACAGAGAGAAGCATGCACACATTGGAAGATGCACTGCTGAAGAAGTCAATGAAATGAAACTGCAATCGGATCAAGTCAATCTGTTGCTATACTGAACACAGTTTCAAGTTCTTTTGGCTCTTCTACACAATGGCATTCGCCGCAATGTCCTTTGATGTAAACGAACAGCTAAATCAGTATCTCGACGAGTGGAAAAATGATGCGCCAAATGAAAATGTCATCGAAATCTTATCAAAGTATTTATTTTTGTTTACCTTTTGTATCACTGAAAAATCTAACCAATTTTGCTCTGTAGAATTTCAGAAGTTATCGAAAAGGAAACTGAAACGTACTACAAAATGGATCCTGATCCGTTTGACGACAGACATCCAAGCCGGGCCAAGCCGACTTGCTCTTTCGGACCCCTTTTGAAGAATCTTTTTAAGAATGACGATTTTATGAATAAGGTATGCAAAGAGTGATTAGAGCCTTTTTTATACTTAAAGACAACTCAAATGATTATATTTCAGCTTGTCAATGATTATCTAATGAATCGGGATGATAAAGAACTTCAGATTGCTTCATGCCGTTTAGTGCTCGACATACTGCCGGGTCTGGAAACTTCTGTTGTTTTCAACGACACTGTACGTAAACAACACTTGCCTCAATGACACTTTAACTAAAGTATTTCATATTTATTTGTCAGGATGGACTTCTAGAAAGACTTTTAAGCTGGGCTCGAAGTGCCGAAGAACCTCTTCAATCTTATGCGATAGGACTGCTAGCTGCTGCTATGGATGTTCAGGATATCGCCGCACACTCCAAAGAGCAAAACATACAACTTATGCCAATCATGATTGTTAAGCTAAAAGATTTAATTAAGAAAAGTCTCAGTGAATCAAATCACATAGAAGACGAAGAGATTCCTCATCAAACTCCACATAAGCGAAGACGCATCTCAAGTCCTTCCAATGAATGCTCCAACAGCAGCTGGGCAGAAATGGAACCTCTAATGATCGGCTCGGCCAAGATTTTTCCTTTGACTAATGAAATTAGTCAGCGGTTCATTTACCAGTACTTGACATCACTTGGAGTGTATCAAGATATGCTGAGCTTCGTTTTTGAGCACAGCGTCCTTTCACTGATACTGAACACCATAGACTTGAATAAAAACGGTGACGTCCGCCTGGCGTTTGATGCTTTAAAGGTTCGTAAAACTCTTAAAGTTTTCAAGTGTTTAATTTTTCAATTTATCTTTAGTACCTAGCTTCACTACTTTGCCACAAGAAGTTTGCTCTTGAGTTTGTAAACGCTGGAGGAATTCAAAGTTTGCTTAAAGTAAACCGCCAATCTGTTGCTGCCAACGGTGTTGCATATTGCCTCAATTGCATTGCTTATCATGACGATGTAATGGAGAAGGTTTGTTGAATATATTGTTTTTATTTATTTTTTGAAGTAATATCAACTTTTACCTTGCCACAGATTTGTTTTTTGCCTCACCATGTTTTAGAGAACTTGGTTTCATATGCTTTATGGCTGATTGAAACCTCTCACGATTCAAGTCGCTCAAACGCAATGATTTTCTTTAGCCTCTCTTTTTCTTATCGCATGATTTTGAATCTATTTGACAGTCAAGATGGTTTTAGGAAAATTATCAATGAAATTTCAATGATTGATTTGTTCTCTTCGCCAAGTTCTACGTACTCGGAAGATGAAATTTTCACGAAGCGGCAGTATGCAAAGCATGTATGTTTTGCCCTGAAACGATACTATGAAGCCCACTTGATCATCCGAACACATGAACTGCTTAAAAATAGCTCTTACTCAAACAAAATTTCCCCTAGATGGGCGCGACTGATCAACATCAACGTACCTCCATACAAAACAATCAACTACGATTACGAGTTGTACATGGAGCACGTGGAAGCCCTCCTTCACCTAATGCCCACTCGTGCTCAATGGCGACCTGTAGATGACTTGATCAAGTTTAATGGCGCCAAGTTGCTCATTCAGTACATTAGTTTATCCTATGACTGGAACTTTACCGGAAAGTAAGTCAAAAGTGGATTCAAGTATTCATAAGCTCTAAACTTTATTTTAATTTGTTTAGGGCTGATGCCGTTCGTAGTGCTTTAGACGTTCTAGTGGTTTGCAGTGTAATGGCCAAATTTCAAGCGCTTCTTGGCGATAGTGTGGTCATAAATGAAGGCCATTCAACTGCTGGGATGAGGTAATATTTCATTCATTATTTTAATTTACTTTTCTTGTTTACAAAATGTTTTGCATTTTAAAGAATCATCTTAGCAGCAGCTTGTGGTGATATTGTCAATGATGCAGACTGTCAGCGATCAGCCCTGAATGTGATCATCAACTGTGTTTGTGGCCCTCTAACCCGACCTGGCAACTCAACGATTCGTCTTTCAATGAGCAGTTCAAAGAAAAAGTCCAAGTGTTATGATGATGTTCTAAAGCAAATGTGGACATCGGTTCGCTTCAACAACGGAATTATGATTCTTCTCAACTTAATGATGATCAAAACTCCAATCACTGATGCCGACTCAATTAGGACATTGAGCTGCAAGGCACTCTGCGGATTGGCTCGAAGTGAAACAGTTCGACAAGTAATGGGAAAGTTGCCCTTGTTTTCTAATGGTCAAATACAAGGTATGTTTTTTGTAACTAGCAAGCGTGAAATGTAAATTATCAAATATCTTTCATACAGCTTTACTGAAAGAGCCAATTTTGCAAGATAAGCGGAGCGAACACATTAAGTTTGTCAAGTACTGCCTTGAATTAATTGCCAGCGTAACTGGTGCACCAGTCGAAACGACTAGTCTTGAAGATTCAGTTGGAAACAATCTCAATAAAGTGAGTAATTTTTGCTTTTTTACCGAAGTGTGTGGATTCTATTTTTTTCTTTTTATAGGCTGAAGTTATAACTCAAACTAAAATTGTTTTCAACGAGAAAGAGCTGCTTCAACTCATTTATAAACATCTAGTGGAAAAAGGCCTCTCAAAGACTGCACAAGCTTTGGTCGATGAAGCTAAACTCACTGAATTTGCTAACAGTTTTGCTAAGAACAGTAGCTTTAGTAAATTTAATACCCCACCAAGAGCACTTCCCCGCGTGGTAAGAAATTGTTTGTGTTTGATGATAAACGTTTTAATATCATTATTGTTTTTGTTGTAGTCTCGACAAATCCCCGTCTTGTCCCAAAATTCCAATTTGTTTGCAACCCCATCATTGAATGTTCCATCCAGCACTAGTCACAATGATTCGTCTTCCAATCTCAATAATCCCATCCGAATCAATCGAACGCAGCGATCAAGTCGTGTCAATAACAGCAACAATGTCGCTAGCATCAGTAACCGCCGGCAATCTATTCACTTCACCTCGCCAATGGCAAAGAGGCGGACGGATTTTTCTTCAAACAATGTCATTTCTCTCGACTCGATAGTGATTGAATATCTGCGCAAGCAGCATGCACTGTGCAAGAATCCTGTAGTGACCTGCCCTCCATTCGATCTTTTCAAGCCCCACCGCTGTCCAGATCCAAAAAACAACGCCATTGCACCTGTGAACATTACTTCCCGCCTGCAGAATCGTCAAGTGTTTCCCCCCTCGGGAGGAATGTTCGGCTCTAAAATGGACCGAAAATTCATTTACAGCAGATTTAGACCTTTTCGCTCACTTCGTGCTTTTGATCCGACAAACTTTCTCTGCAGTGCATTTTCGGTACTTATTTGATTTTTATACTTTGATAATCAAATAATTTTTGTTTTTTATTATTTGACAGTATTCTGGGAACCTGCTCTACGTAGGAACTGATAATGGAGAACTGCACGTTTTTAACTACCTTACCAGTGAAATTGAAACCACATTTCCCTGCTACGATTCCATTGTCTCCTCTATTGAACCGTCCTGGGTAAAACTGAGTATTGCTTATTTTTCAACAAAACTTTAAATGATGTTATGTTTACAGGATGGGAAAATGCTTTTAACTTCGAGCTATTGGGATTCGCCTAACTCAATTCTCTGGAGCGTCACTGAATCTTCATTGGATCAAAAGTATTAATCAAAAAGTTTTGCTTATACATAATTTAATCTTTTGTCTTGATTTAGACTTAGCTTTACGCATGATAATCACGTCGAGTTTGGTAAAGCCGTGCAAGACAAGGTTTTGGGGACCGCCGAGTTTGCTGCACATGTAAGTTTTTTCATTGCAATATTTTTGAAAGGTTCCTTTTACATTTTCCTTCTACCATTAGCTTTATAGTCTTGGCACTGGGCAACTCGTTAGAACATTTGACGACGAAGATTATGCTAATCGTTACGTTAAGAACATAGCCACATTTCATCCAAGTGATCATTTGATTTTGAACGACGGCGTCCTTTGGGATATTCGCTCTGAAAAGCCAATTCACAAGTTCGACAAGTTTAACCAACACATTAATGGAATATTTCACCCTAATGGCCAGGAAATCATTTCCAACTCTGAAATTGTAAGACAAGCGTTTTATTATAATCACATTTACTTATTAATCATTTTTGTACCTAAAAGTGGGACATTAAGACTTATAAGCTACTGAACACAGTTCCAGCTTTAAGTGGGGTAAGTGTTTTTAATTTAAACTTGTTAGCAATAACTAAACAATGGTTTTCCTCAATTCTAGAGCCACATTAAGTTTAACAAAAGAGGCAATGTCATTTATGGAGGTAAGTAAAGTTGTATGTTGAATGTTCAATTTTATAACTAAGCCCTTTTTAATCAGTCTACGAAGATGACTCTACTGAAGACTTGGAAGAGGACAAATTACCGTTTAGCTCATCCTATCGCACCTTTGATGGCCGAGACTACTCAAGCATAGCAACGATTGACGTGAAGCGGTCAATAACTCATTTAGCAATCGATCCAAGCGACAATTACATTGCCATCATTGAGAACCAATGCAATAGAGACACTAGCATCTTTTCACATGACAAGGTTGCACGCGTTTACGAGATTGGCAAATGTCGCGAAGAAGATGACGAGGAGCGAGATGATGATGACGAAGACGAAGGGGACGAAGAGTCGGATGGTGATTCCTATGATGATGACGATGACGACATAATGGCAGATGAGCTCATGTCCGATTCATCCTCCAATGCTCTCGATTTAACCGACATGGAAAGCGAATACGAAACCAGCAACAGTTCTTCAATTTCTTCCGATGATGAAAGCGATGAAGAGATTTTTTACCAATTAAATAATTAGGTATTTCCAAACGTTAGTTTTTGATACAGTTTTTTTATTTATTTTCCATCAGCAAGTACAGTGTAATGATAAAAACACATTTTATTACAAATTCATTTTCATTACATTATTTACAAATTCATTGAGAGCTTATCCTTTTTTTTGTTCTTATCTTTGGTAGACTTTTTGCCAGAGCAGGCAGAGCAAAACCAGCTGCCTTTCGGTGGTTGTTTTATACCAACGCAATCATAATGAAACCACTGACCATACGGGCACTGTAATGAAAAAAAAGGTTTAAATAATAATTAATAAGTGCAAACGAAAAAAGCAAAAATATTGAAATTACCTGAGAATTTTCGCAAAATATCATTTCGCCATAAGAAATGTTGTTGCAGACACAGTATCTTGGCTCATCGCTAGCCCAATCGCTTACCACTTCAGTTGTGGTAGTGTTGTTCGCATCAAGATTATACTGATTAGTAGCACGATTCTTTTTGTTGCTCATGCGAGACTTTTTGTTGGCCTGCTCGTATTCGCTATGCTCACTGTTCTGTCGAAGAAAGCTGTTTGAGTTTGACTCGTGGTCATTCATTCCAGATGTATAGTTGAAATTGGCGAATCCCGAATTGATGGCTTCATAGCTCGCTTTTAGACTTGAAGTTCTTCGTCCAATCGGCAGTTGTTGAGTGGCAGCAAGAGCATGTGAAGCGGCGTTAAAAGCCAGTGGATTGACAGCATTTGTGCCGGGAATGTTTAGCTTCAGTTTAGCAGCGATAGAACTTTTGTCAGAGATTAATTTTGAGTTGAATAAAGAGTATGGACTCTCTGTTCCATGAGTATTTGATTGAGGTATGTTGTTATGATTCTTGCTTGAGCCATAGTTACTATTGACAATGGCGTTATTGTCTTGAGCATAGTTAAGCATCATTTTATCTGAAGATGAAGGCACTAGCTTTTGATCGTTTGGATTAAGTTTTCTCTTTTCGCGTTGATGACTAGAAGACGATGTTGGTGGGTTATCCAAGTCCAAGGAGCCTGAAAAGGTAAAATTAAATAAGTTTATTTGTGAACACAAAAAAATAGCATTACGTTTTTCTAATTGCTCAGTGATTCCTGCATTATCCGCTTCGAGTTCCATTTTAAACTTCATTAGTTCTTGCTCAAGTTTTCGCAGATACTTGTCAACTATTTCATAGAGCTGATTTGCTGCGGCGACCTTTTCTTCTGCAATGTCAACTACCTTTTGGTAATCCTGCGCAGGTTTAAACGAACAATTAACATTATCATAAAAATTGTCATTTGAACAAACCTGTTTGATTTGATTGAAGTTGTTACTCTTAATTTCGGCAGGTGGATTACTAGTCGCTAAATCACTAAAGAACTGATTGACGCGAAGTTGCCAGCTGTCAACGTCATCTTGAAAATGGTGAAATAAAAATTATTTAGATCTGATTTTTCCGGCAAAAACCCGTGTAGCTCCTTACTGTGTACTTGAAGATCCCACTCGCGCATTTGAGTTAGCGTTTCTCTAAAATGCTGGGGCAAATGTTCAATCACTGGAATAAAAGAGGAAGAGTTTAGAAAACATCCACTTGACACCAGCCAGAGGGAATGTTATACTTTCTAGGTAGTCCTCGAGGTACAACATTTTGAAAGAGTCTGCTTTTATTTGGGTTTATACCCAGTAAAGTCAGAGAGAGAGAGAGAGAGAGAGATAGTTGAACGACAACAACAACAATGCTGTTTTGGTTGAGCAACGAGGGATTCTCAGCAAAAAGTTTACGCGAAGTTTCAGGAAGACTTTCTCAACAAAAGAATCGTACGCTGCTTCTACCTGGTGGCAAATTATTTCCCTCAGCGAGCAGCTTCTTGTTCTCACCGGCTAAAATCTCTTCACCGTCGTTGTTGATTCTTCAGCTTCAAGCCAATTCAGCTGTATTCTTGTCCTTTCTAGCCAAAATCTTCGCCACCATGCGGCCCTCAGCTTTGCAACCTTTGTCGCCAATGACTGATGATCGTCCAAATGAGCAGACACTCAATTTGATAAGCAACAAACGTAAAAGTCGCCTCCGAGATCTGCATGAGAAAGTGTCGCCTCCATCTCTACCAAAGATCCGCATGATCGAGTTTCAACATCACGGAGCGGTGCGAACACTTCCAGCAAGTTATCAATTCAGTGTTCATTTTCATTCCACTTCAAGCGCTCAACGATCAGAGGGGGGAAACATTCTTGAAACACCTGGGCCTAAAAATGGCAAAGTAAAGGTTGCGAGAAATCGTTCTACTAAAAAGACGAAGGCATCTTTATCGTGTCAAACTCCCGCCGTGGAAACAAATCATAAGCTACCTCAGCCTAGTTTTCGCGTTCTTACTGATGTCGAGGAGTACAAAGAACCAGCGTACTCGTCTGCTGCTTACTATCGAAAAAATGCCAATATTTACGGGTCTCCAAAGAAAGTTGAGCCAGATGGTGCTCCGCCAAAGAGGAGAATGAAAAAGGGAAGAGGCAGAAAAAGGAGACATGAAGTGAAGACGAGCGAATCGAAAGAAGAGGAAGATCATGCGTGTGTAGAGTATGACATGGACGAGGAGGACTCAATTTGGCTTGACATTATGAACAAAAAGAGGCGAGCCGACCGGCTTCATCCAGTGGACAGAAACGAATTTGAAAAGATGATGGACAAACTGGAGAATGAATCGTACAAGCACAACCAACACAAACTGAGCGGTTCCAATGTGGACGCCGATGCTGATTGCTCCATTTGCAACGACGGCGAGTGTCAGAACTCCAACGCCATTCTCTTCTGCGACATGTGCAACCTGGCGGTGCACCAGGAGTGCTACGGTGTGCCGTACATTCCCGAGGGCCAGTGGCTTTGTCGGCGCTGTTTGCAGTCGCCCAACCGACCTGTCGACTGTGTCCTCTGCCCGAACAAAGGAGGCGCCTTCAAGCACACTGACGACAACCGCTGGGCCCATGTCATTTGCGCGCTGTGGATTCCTGAAGTGTGCTTTGCGAACACCGTCTTTCTTGAGCCAATTGACAGCATCGGAGCAATCCCGCCGGCGCGATGGAAGCTCATTTGCTGCGTCTGTCAGAAGAAGAACGTCGGCGCCTGTATTCAGTGCCACAAAAGCAACTGCTATGTTGCCTTTCACGTTACCTGTGCCCAGAAAGCTGGCCTCTACATGAAAATTGAAGCCGTCATTGAAAAGGGTCCCCAAGGAGTCACAAATACGACAGTGCGCAAACTGGCGTACTGCAATAACCATGGGCCTAAGGTGGAGAAAAAGTCTGACGATGAGAAAAGCAAAGAAAAGGTCAAAGAAGAGAAGGTCAGAAAGAACGAACCGTCTCAGTCTTCAATAGACGACAAAATTTCCATTCCCGTTGATGTACTTTGCCAAATATCGTGCAACTTGAACTTTCCCAGGCGTAATCAGTTTCTCCTTCGTCTCTACTCCTACTGGAGATTAAAGCGGCTTTCTCGAAACGGTGCTCCACTTATACGGCGTCTGCAAAATTCAATTCGCCTAGATCAGCTGGTCGAGAAGAAGAAGGAAACCGGAGGCAAACGTGAGCGGAACAAGCTGGAAAAGTATGTGCAAAAGCTAAGAACAATCCGCTATAGCCTTGAGAATGGCAGACTTCTGATGAATGAAATTATCAAAAGAGAACGACTAAAGTTTTTGATCCACAGTAATCACAAGCAGTGTCAACTCTTCAAAATGACTCCTTTTAATCAGTTTCTCAACTACATTCTTGATCAGGTTACAAAGAAAGATGTAGATATGTTCTTCACAGAGCCGGTAGACACAACGGCAGTCAACGACTACTTAAAGTTCATCACAGAGCCCATGGACCTCGGAACAATGAAAACAAAGGTGCAGCTTTGTAAATACACTTCAATTGATGCTTTTAAGTATGACTTGAAGCTTATCGTCGACAATTGCAAAAGCTACAATGAATCCGATACTGTCTGGCACAAGGCCGCAATTAAACTCGAAGAGTTCATTGACGAACAGTTTGTACAGCTTGAGCCTTTCCTTGAGGCATTTAATCAGCAAGCTGGAACTCACCTTCTTCCACTTCCCCCTATTGAGACACCATCTTCCCAGCCGTGAGCACATTCACTTTTTGAATATTTTTATTTGAAACAGTTTGTACATAAATGGCACTTTAATAAAATTAACATTAATCAGTATATTACGTGGATTGAAGGTGCAATGATATGATGGTGATGCATGTAAGAATATTCGCAAAGTATTTTACAATGTTGGGAAGACTCATTTCCTTTTGATGTACTTGTTGGGCTTCATCTTTTTGCGCGACTGTGCCATTTCGGCGTTTGAAACATCAGTTTCCGTAACGTCTTCTTCCTGTGAATTGTTGACTTTCTCCTTTGGCATTTTGGCTTCCATTAGCTTTTCAATTTCGGGATTCATGCCTTTGAAGGACATTCTGCCGAATCGGAGATTTTCGCAGTAGAGAAAACTACTAGTCGTCATGAATTTGTCGCCTTCATTGCGACACAGCTCCAGCATTTCTTGGTCCACAGACTTGCGGCTCTCTTGCTCGAGCTTTTCTCTTTCGACATTTTCTTTGGTGCGTTGCATAAACTTCATCTGAAGTAAGTTCTTCGATAAACCTGCATGATTTCGCTTCATTTTGGAAGTTTTGCGCTCTGTGTTGAGTTTAGAAATCAAAATCAAAACAGAGCCTCGGCGATTTTCGCCGCACGTGCAGCTACAACTATTTCCACAACCGCAAGTGGCAAACTTTCAAAATGTGAAAAGCAGCTACCAGATGATCTACCTAGATCACTTTTAGATAACGAAAATTGTTGAAAAATCACTTTATTCAGTTGTGGATGTGATGATTTAAATTAAATTACAAACAAAATTACATCCAATGAGCACTCTGGTAAAGAACTTAGGCCCTAATACTTTTGTCCACTTCATTCTGTTCAATTAGCGTGATAATCTCTTTTAGCTCGGTGCAGTTTTTCAGCGATTCGGGGAGTTTCTTAAGTGTATCGACAAGTACAGCAATAAAACTGTCTATTCTTTCAATTTCATTGGTGAGGTTTTTCTCATTATCTTCCCAGACTTTGCGATTACGGACGTATTTTTGCTTCAGCTTTTCGTTTGTCTCCTCAAGCTCGGATAACTTTGCGCTTAGTTCGACTATCTCTTGTTTATTTTCCTTCGAATTGTTGCATAGATTACGGTAGTAGACAAGTGCTTCTTCGTGATTTTCCTTCTCCTTAAGCCACTCTACTCTTTCCTTAAAGCGAGTATCTTCGAGATCCTTCAATGATTCAGTCAAGACATCATTTTCCGCCGTGATAAATTCAACGCTCTCTTTTAGCTCTTTATTTTCATTTTCAAGTTGTGATATTTTCAGATTTTGTTGCTCTATCTTTTTCTCGAAAATTGTCGCGTCGTTATCACCTAAAGTAGAAGAAAGTTAGGATAAACAAAACCGAAAATAAGAAAGTACGGACCTTGTCTGTCTTTGTCGTGTTTAATAACATTCAGCAATTCATTGTAACGCTTTTGAGCCTTGCGGACTTGCTCTTGAAGGTAACCAACTTCCGTTTTGAACGACTTGTTCTGCTTTTTTTCACTGTCCAACTCCGTACTGAGATCATCTGCAGTTCGATTGTTGTTGTTGTTATTGTTGTTCTCATTAGTAGGTACTATTTGATTGTCATTCTTCGGCAAGACAGCGTGATCGTTGAGCTGCTGTCTCAGCCGAGAGTGCTCCAACTGCAGCTGTTCGTATTCTTCGTAAAACTTTTGAATGTACAAAAAGTATGAGATTGCGTTGCCGTTTGCGTCGCTCAGTTCCGTCTCCATGTTCGGAGCTGTCATCGGTGTGACTGGGAAAAGAAGTACAGTCTACAAGTGAAATCACCTCTGAGAAAAAGTAAACACGCTGTACAGCACTCAACAGGCCGTGGAGAGAGAGAGAGGTACCCTACCACAGTTGGCCAGTGGCAGTTGCTGAAGAAGCCAGTGCGGCGACTGTGCCAGTGCTCGCTCTCATAGATTGGCGCTTCAAGCGCTTGGCGGTTGGCGCTTTTGTTATGTGTTCATGCCGACTTCAACTATAGATCCACCATCCTATTCACCTCACTCGCAACAGCCAATATCTACTGCTTCAAAAAGTTGAATTGTCACCATACTTTGCGATGGGTCAGCGGCTGGACGCTGAGACGGAAGACTTTCTGGTCTATGTTGTGAAGGATGAGTTTCGCCGTCTTTCACTTGAGAAGAGTGAACGGAAATTAATTAAAACTCAGGTAGAATTTTTGCTTCATTTATAACTGAATCAAGTTCTTAAGAGTTTTGCTTTTAGGTTGATTATGTGAAAAATCTGCAAAGAGTTGATGAGTACATAACTCATCTTAAAAGTCTGGATTTTCAGACTGGATGGTTATTTAACTTGCCCAAAACTAACATCAAAAGGGTATTTCATGGAGCAAATTGTTTGTCGATAATCTCACTTTATCTTTAAATACTTATCAGAATCGCATCTCTAAAAAACATGAAGTCGTTACTCATTACATTCCAGAGTATTTTTTAAAAATACTTCCACCCTTACCTAGAATGTTTGTTTTTTTATAATTAAAAAGAGTGATTTTCTATGTTTAATTCTTTCTTCTCTTCAGGTGCATGTGGGCTCCTATACATAAAAACGTCATAGTAGAAGACGAAAATATTCTACATCATGTACCATACATAGGGGACGATGTGGTCAATGATGATGACTGGCAAAACGAATTGTTAGAATTTTATGAAAACCGGGTCCACATGCCAGCAGACGACTACATGACTGACGATGTATTGTCAGACTTGGTCGATGTGTTGGTTTCCAAAGCCTGGAGCAAAGACAACAAGCCTTTGCCTATGAGCATAAGAGGTCCTGCTGAACGTAAGTTTAATCTCTTGAGGTTACTTTATTTGTTTATTTTTGCTGTTTTTATTTCCAAAGCATTCATCATTGACAAAGAGCTTGCCTTTGAGCTGATTTCGTATTATATTGTTGATTATGCATTTTCACCAGAAGATTTGAAAGAAAAGTATTTTGTTAATATATTTGTGTTTGTTTGGATAATTAAGCAGCTTTTCACTGATCCTTTTAGATATGATGATTATCAGCGGATTAAAAACAAAGAAGCAATTTACAGAGAAACGATTCCGAATATTGACGGAAATCAGGCTACTGTTTATACTCGAGAAAAGGCACTAAACTCGTTTCAGACCCTCTTCTGTCGACGGTGCTTTCTCTATGATTGCATCGCACATGGTAAGATAAACTTATTTTGTGTGTTTCATTCTTGTTAAAATCTTTTATTGTTTTTTCTTATAGTGTTTTATCCGCCAATTTATAAACCCGAAGAGGAAGATTTTTCTCGGTATAATGGACCTTGTGGAAAAGATTGCTTTATCAACATTGTACGTTTTATTGCATTATCTTTACCAAATTAACTTTTTTCTTTTAAAGGATTCTGGAAGTAGAGAGTTTATTCCGATCCCAGGACACTTACAAGGTTTCTATTTTATTATTTCAATAAGATAAAGCAACTCAATGAAATTTTTTTGCAGATGAACACCCAAAAATTTCATTGTCTAGCATAAAAACGGGTCATTTTACATTTTCCGAGAAGACACTATTTAATGTTTTGGCGAGAACATTTCAGCGCAACTTTTGTTCAATAGCCCGCACACTTGGCAGCAAAACGTGCGCTGAAGTCTATATTCACTTTCATAATTTGAGAGAAGAGGATAAGGATGCCATCAAAAAACAGATTTTCGAAGACCGGAAACTTGCCAATACGAACAAGAAAAAGAAGTTCTTGAAAGGAAAAGCCACCAGCATTTGGTCCAAGCACTTTCAAAAGTTCAAAGAAAAGGAGAACGCGACCACTGAGGAAGATAGAGCTCAAAAGAACTACATGCCCTGTGACCACGAGGGACTGTCGTGCAGCGAAGAAATTGGCGACAAGTGCGAGTGCTTCAAGAGGGGTACCTTCTGCGAAAAGTCTTGCAACTGTAATCCCAATTGCGAGAATCGTTTCCCCGGCTGCAACTGCAAAGGCGCCTGCAACACCAAAAGCTGCCCCTGTCACAATGCCGCGCGAGAGTGTGATCCTGATCTTTGCAAAACCTGTGGTGCTGGTACGTGTGTGTTGTTCGCCTTTATCATTTCCATTACTACTGCCTTTAATCGTTTCTTTAGCCGAACTTGATCTAATGGAGCGCAGAGACAAGTTCAAGTGCAGCAATGTGTCAATGCAACGCAGCTTCCACAAGCATCTCCTGCTGGGGCCTTCTGAGGTGTCCGGTTGGGGCGTATACCTGAACGGCATCGCCATCAAGGACGAGCTGATATCAGAGTACTGCGGCGAGACTATATCGCAGGAGGAGGCTGATCGAAGGGGAAAGGTGTACGACAAGCACAAAGCCAGCTTCTTGTTCAACCTCAACGGAGGTAACCTTTGTCAATTTTTGCGAAATGTTGTTTGGTTTTATAAAATTACTTTTGCAGATCAAGTGGTTGACGCGAAACGAAAGGGAAACAAAATTCGTTTTGCTAACCACTCGGTGAATGCCAACTGCAAGGCCATAGTCAAGATGGTCAATGGCGACTACCGAATAGGTATTTTCGCAAATAGAAACATTGACAAGTACGAGGAGCTCTTCTTTGACTATCGCTACGGGCCGAATGATCGTCTGAACTTTGTGTGCATCGAAAGACCATCAAATAAGAGTTGCATTGTATGATCTGAGCAACCATTTGATATTTAAAAATTTGTAAATAACTCGACTTAAAATGTATTTATTGTAAATAAATTTTTTATATTGGTTTCTCTACAAAAGTTTGGCTAACTTTTTGTGCTTAATGGTGCTAAGTTGTTTCTGGATCATATCCGCCTGATTCCAACAACTTTCAAAATGATCATTCGATCTTATCTTGGTAGCAACATTGAAAATGACATCTACATCGTGTTCAAAACGAAACTTTTGTGTGCTAGAAGTTGACTTTGTTGACTCCTTTTCTAAACGACTAGCGATATGTGAAATGATTTTTAGAAATTCAGTCAAATTGATACCGAAGTGCATGGCTAAGATTTTTTGACAATTTTCCTGCCACTCTTCTTTACTTAGAGTCGCCTTGAGATCTTTGATTTCCTTTTGAACCTGCTCATGGGCTTCGATGATGTTGTCGTAAATGAGTGTTAGATTGGCAGCATTGATCCAATTGTGATTGATAGATATTGTGTCTTCGCCATTTAACACTTGATGCATAAACCCACTTGGGACAAAGAGAGTTTGACCACCTTTTTGAGTGATTTCAAATGCTTCGACCTGTTTGAGGATTTCCTCGTGTCCTGGCACTGAGTACAGATCTCCTGGAACGGCTGGTAACAGCTGCTTCAGCTTTTTCACATTCTTTGGTGGAATTAACAGCCATTTTTTTAGACCACAAATGTTGGCAGACCAACTAAATGATCCAAAGACATCAACATGAAGAGGAGTGCTATTGGAAAAAAATGTGTTAAAATCTTTTGAATAGTCTGTAGTTATTTTCCACTGACCTTGACATCTTGGGCCCCATGTACACAAAACGGTAGTCGGTCAGTTTGTTAGCCAGGCAGTACTCATTAAGGTAATCACTTTGAAAATATTGAGGCACACTATATACATCTTCAGAGCCTGTAACTTCTTGAAACATGTGGAAATCTTTTAGATACAAAACGTCGTTACTTTCGTAATTATAATTTTGACTGATGACGGTTTTCCAGTACTCAATAAATTCCTTCATATGCATCATTTTACTTGGGTTTGAATCATAGTACTTTTTATTGCAATTGTAAACAGGACACATCTTGTTGCCTATAATAAAATAGAAATGAAATTGATTAAAATTGAATCAGGCGCCGACCAGCTTACCATATTTAGCCTGCAAAAAATCCAAATTGACGGCTCCATCATTGGTCACCCAAGTCTTCCTGCAGTCCCAGTTGGCCGTTAGGCGTTGATCTATCAGACAAACAACGTTTTTGCTCAAGATCTTTTTGTAGAATTCCTCATAAGAAGGCAGTTCATCATTGATCACACAAAAGTACGGGTTTATAAATTGCATTTTGACAAGTGATGCTACTTTTCATCAACAAAAGACCTCATGCGAGCTACGGCAGTGGGATCCCATTTTCGGTGGAAATAGCAGCTGAAGTAGCTTGGCGTCTTTTTTCGATCCAACACTCCCAAGCCTTGCACCTAATTAGCAGCTCCTGTGAGCTTTTTTGAAATACTCATAAAAGTTTAATTCATTTGAGACAATAAAAACAATAGATGTACATGTTTATTGCCGTTTACTGACAGGTTTAAAAGTGGAAAACAGCTTTATCAGCTTCTATCGATTATTATATTTGTTCAAGGAAAAGGCTGAAGGTTGCCGTTGAAAGACATTTTTTTCAATTGGTTGACTAAAGTAATTAATCGGCTGAGTGTGGAACTTCTTATCACAGACTTTGTCAAAAAATCGACTCAATTTCACTGCATTTGTAGTGCCAGGCGCCAAACACTTTGAGTTGCGGCAGTTAACGCTGATCAGCTCACATTTGAGCAGGTCGACTAGCTCGTTTTTAGAATCTACATTTTCCGGTGCCAAGTCTGCTTTGGTGGCCACTACAAGAATAGGAATGTTTAGTCCCATGAAAGATTCAACGTCGTACTCAAAGTCAATTTCAGTTGCCACTGGAAATAAAGCCTGTGATATAGTGGCACTGTTGATGTTGGAGCGTTCTTTATCGTTCTGGTTATCAGATAACGTCTGTCCAAGCCAGTTCTTCAGATTGTGCTCTGATTTGCTGTTGGTCAAGTCTTGAACGAGAATGATTCCGTGGAATGAGTTGAAGAAGATCTTTCTTGCAATTGCATGACTCCTCGATCCGCCGACGTCCCACAGTTCAATAAACACCGTCCTCTGCTGTGCTGTGCCCTCCTTGTACTGGTGAAGCTTGATGTCTATCGAACAGCCAATAGTCCACTGGGTGTTGGTCAGTGTCTCGGAGTGGCAGATGAGGTGAACGAGCGAAGACTTGCCCACGCCTGAATCGCCCAACACAAGTACCTTTATTTTCTCGTGCATCGAGGAGGACATTACTGATGCAAAAAGAATACTCTGAAATTCTTGAAAAGCCTGCAATGATATGGACAGTGATCAGCAACTTTTCAAGTTCTCAAAGTAATTGAGCATCCAGAGAGTTCATCAAACTTCTTTTGACAATTTAGAGGCCAGTTGGAGTTGATTTCATGTTTTTGTTTGTGTACGATTTGCAAACATCGCCACTGAGCGCAGCTTCTAAACACGTACACCCTGACCAGCAGAGAAAAAATGCCGTCCTTATAGTTCAGTCGAAGGAAAGAAAGAACGACGTTTTTCTGCTGTTGACCCGGTTGAAGCGGTTTTACTTGGTGAGAGTTCACTAAATTTTTTGTTCTCCATGTGCCGATCTGCATTTCGCTAGCTCGCCTTCTTTTGAATCTTCTTCAAGAATCATGTCTCACGATTTACCGGCCAGTTTACTGGATGAGCTCGACAGTACGTTTTAGAGTTTCATAAACTGATTTGCTTTTTTATCTTACTCATTGATCTTCTCCACAGAAAAGCTTCTCGTTTTACTTCGTGATGGCCGAACTCTGATTGGATACTTGCGCAGCATTGATCAGTTCTGTAAGTGGTTTTTCTTTTCTTTCAACTAAAAGTTTATCGTTTTAATTTGTATTTGTACATTTTAGCCAATTTACTACTACACCAGACCATTGAAAGGATCTATGTCAAGGACAAATATGGCGATATTCCAAGAGGAATCTTCCTCATTAGAGGCGAAAATGTTGCTTTGTGTGGGGAAATCGTGAGTATTTAAAAACTGCGACAGAACTAAATATCTAATTTAACCTCTCGCTTGAACCTGCAGGACGAGATCAAGGAGATGAACACACCACTAAAATCAGTGCCAATTGAAGACATCCTAGAATTACAACAAAATGAAATCGATGAGAGGAAAAAAGGAAAGTTCAACGCTTTTCAAGATGCTGACGTTTAAGGCCGTTTGGTTTTATTTAATGAATAAGTAATAACGATGAACATCGAAATAAAAATAAGTATATAAGAAGTATCACATGTTTTCTTGAGCATAGCTCAATACAGTTCAAGTTGCTTGTTTTAATTGAGAAAGAATTTCTTTCAGTAACAAGAGTATATCGCCTGCTTCGGGCCTTTCATTAGGCTTTGGCGAAAGTAGTTTATGAAGGACTTGAGTCTAGTAGGAAAGGTTCAATGATTAGTACATGATGATCAGATGAGGGGTGCTCAACTAACCTCTTCAGTGTGATTCTGAGTGAATTCCGATGGGAATTGCTTGTTTCTTACTCGCTGAAGCGTTACAACTCGCTCACTCTCCGTGTTGAACGACTGCAGCAGCTCGTACAAGATAATGCCACTTGAAAAGATGTCCACTTTGTGATCGTAAGGCTCTTTTTTGACCTGAAAATATGCTCAATTTTAGTCGTGGTCAGTAAGGGAACCAGTTGCCAATTACCTGCTCTGGACTCATGTACAGCTGTGTTCCAACGTCGTTGGTGTGCTTCTGAAAGCGCCTTCTCTTCTTTCGCACAGGTGAACTAATCTCACAGTGTTCATCAATGGCGTTTGTTACCAGCCCAAAGTCGCCAATTTTCACATGAGGATGATTTGTCAAATCCATTCCAAAAAAGATATTCGAAGGCTGTTGATGAAAATGAGAGAGTTAAAATTTGTTTCAATCAGTAATAAATTGTGCTTCATCAAACTACCTTCAAATCGCGGTGTATTAGCTTTTGAGAGTGAATGAAGTTGACAGCGTCTATAATTTGATTGAAAATGTCCAATATATAAGATTTTTCGCGCTCTTTGTTCTCCAGCAGCCAGTCTTTAAGAGTTTCCTTCCTGCAGAGCTCCATTTGAATGTACACAAATGTGACTTGTTGCGTTTTAAGTAGAGCTCTGGGCTGGTCATTTTGAACAGAACTTTCATCGGCAGTGCTAGCCGAACTGTTGGAAGCATCACTGACATTGCCACTGAAACTTGGCAGCTCTTCAGTTAGTCCGAAACCATTGTCGCTCTCATTTTTTCGAAATGTTGATCCATCGCCAGCTGTTCGGCTGTCTTCGAAAATGATTTCCAGCGAGTTGTTTGATTGACAGTTCGGACCATTGAAGTCGCAAGTTTCTGAATAGCGACTCAGTTTTACATCAGTTTTGTTTGTGCTTTCACTTTGCTCATAAGAGTACTCAGTAATGTCAAGGTTGTCCATTTTATCTTGCGACTCTTGCCAACCAACCGGTGGCTCCTCGATCCAGGAGAACAGATACCGAACAATGCCTGGGTGGTTGAGCTTAGAAAGCACACGAATTTCGCGAATGAAGCGATCTCGCTTTTCCTTTTTGGCGGGAATTGTGATTCGCTTGATGGCGTAGTGACTCTCGTCAATTCGGTGCTTGGCTTCGAATACGATTCCAAAGCCACCCCTTCCCAGTAGAGCAATCTCCTCAAAGTCGGTCTTGTAGCGTGAAACAAACGGGCTGATCTGATTACATTCAAAACTGTTTGACTCGCTAGTTGTTCTGCGGGAGTTTCCAATTGTTGCTGAGTTTGGCTCTTCTTCTTCATTTTCTGTACTATCTTTTGCTTTATTTTCCTCCTGGGTAGCAGCTCGTTTTGGCCATAAATATTTTTTGAATACTGAAGTAAAAAAGTTCATAACGATTCCGCTTAGAATGGAAATGATAGTGATTTCTTTCCAATAATACGACAGACTAGCGTAGACGATACTATCTGTGCTTGGCTCGATTACGGTGGGTTGGCTCTTATTTAATGAGATTCTTTCGCACTTGTCAGGGGATTTCAGTTTGAATATATAATACCCCGTAAAGTTGAGTTCATTGAAGGTTAAAACTGGAAATGTAGGAATGCTTGAAACTTCGAATTTATTAGCCACAGTATCAGTGCTGGATGTTTCGGCTTCGAGTGCCGGTACCTCTTTAAGTGCCACCTGTATGACGGCTGTATTTTGCTCCGAAAGGTCGCTGAGCTCAAAATCCTCGTGTGTCATTAGGTCGGTATGCTTGTGAAGCGGAGAGTTCTGGATATACAGCTGATTGTTGTAGCTTCCCATAAAAAACGCCTCGTCGATTGCGTTGTCGTTATTGAGCGGCTTCCACTGGTTTTGCTCACCATCGGCATGACCATCTTTTCCATCCTGATCAGCATACGAGCTTTTAATGCGGGTGAACAGATTAACTTGCTCTAGTTTCCCATCTTCGTAGTGCCAAACGTTCACGATTGGTGAGTCGAGCTTTAGTTGCCACTGTTTGTGCAGCTGCTTTGTGGGCGATTTAAAGACGGAAGAGTACATGTAGCCACTGGACACATGAACTTGCAAATCAATCGAATATTTGGATGGGTCATTTGAAGCTCCGTTGTGACAGTGCTGGTTGGCGACACTTTGAAGTTGAGGATCATTCACCACGAAATGCCACTCCTCCTTGCCGCTCAGAGAATTGATGGCGCGCACTGATTGTGTTCGCTTCTGAAAGAGCACCACATCATCAAACGTATTGTTTTCCATCTGTGAGCATCCATTTATGTCGCATTCGTAGGCAATACTTCCATCGTGGCGATTGAGAGCAATGATCTTACTGATGTGCCCACCAGCAAGCAAGGCACCTTCAAACTTGACAGATTTTTTCAAGAGTGTGTCAGTTGAAAATTTCGTCTGTTTGATTGTGTGGCCATTGTAGACGTACAGGCTTCCGTCAAGTGATGGAACGATCCTCAGTATTTCGCCTCTGGCATTCACCAAAAAGTTGTTTATCGAAGAAGATAGCAATGGCCCCGAGGTAATGCTCTTTGACCACTTGAGGCTCCCATCGACAGCATCAATGACGCTGACATGGCCATCCATAGTAGTGGCGATAAAAATGTTGGAACTAACAGCAGAGAAATTATTTTAAACTTAATTTTTAAAAAGGCTGACGTAATTACCTTTTATCATTCTTTAAGTTGCTGCAGTCAGGAAGGTAGACATCATTTAATTCTGAAGTGAGAATCGGGCCAACTTGTGCGCTTAAAAGGCAGAGTGAACACCAAAGCAGAATGCATAGTTGAGCTTTAAGCTTCGGCAGTTGAAAGGACATTATCTGGTTACATTGGTCCCTGTGCAGAAGAACAGGCACTTAAGAATTTGGCACGATTTGGAGGAAAATGCAATGCTTTCAAGTTGAAGCCAATATAAACACACACAAACACGTCACTGTAAGCAGCCTGGGCCATCAGCTGATGCCATGACAGTGAGTGAGTGGCACTCTCACTCAACAGGTGCAGTAGTGCGAGTTGCCTTCCAAAGCACACTTTGATTGCCGTCCTTCAGATTACACTTCTCAACAACAGATTTATTTTGTTTATATTCAAACGACTAAGGTAGTGAAAAGTGGCGCCAACATTCACTTCTCAATCGATGCTAATTATCACTATACTGGCAGTTTGGTTAAAGGTAATCTTCAAATTGGGCGCCTTTATTAGCAATAAAAAGAATAAAAAGATAAAAACATTTTATTTACAATGTATAAATTAGAGAGATTGCTATTTTGAAAATAATTTAAGACATCTCGATGTCTGAAGAGTGCGATTCAGACTTGAGGGTTTTAGATCGAGTCATACGAACAGTGCTCGAAGCGTTGTTTGATATGTCACGACGCTTGACTCGTTTGGCCTTTCGACCAGGCTTTTTTACCTCGACAGCCTCTTCGTCTTCGGTGTAGATTAGCGAATCAGCTTTAGCTTCATTCGGCACCAAAGCTTCATCGCCATGGTTTGGGTCATTGGCTTCGTTTTGAATTTCAGCAACAATTGGTTCTGGTTGCTGAACAGGGAGTTGCTCGATTTGCTTCAATGAACCACTGCCAAGGTTTGAGCCAAAACTAGCCAAAAAGGGGTTCTGAATGCGGTTCAGATCATTGCGGTTGTCCATGTACTGGATGAAAGCAATTTGCAACTTGGCGAAAAACTTGATGAGGAAGTAGCGAGCATGGACCGATGCTGAGTCGTACAGCTTCCAGAAGAGATCAACACTGATAATCTTTGCTTTTGATATGAAATCATCGATCACCTGTAATACAAAAAAAGTTAAGCAAAATCAACTTTCATGTTACGGTATACATACTTCTTCGTTTTGCTCGATCTTCTTGTGCACAAAGTTTTCATACAAAATCTTTGCCCCGTTTCCATATGGAGAGATGAGCCAGAAGAGAAAGACAATTTTTGACTCAAAGTAAAAAGGAAACCTAAAATTACAGGTTAGACGGCGTAAAAACAAACAAATAAAAAAGCTAAGGACACGTACCACAAGCCGACAAAGATGTCGAGGAATGTTTCAAGGAACGTAAAGATGCCATACACAGTCCAGTACATGATCATCCGGACGCATTCTTGGTCGTCCTTCTGCTTCAAAGCTTTGAACGACAAGTACGTTGGATACAAAGTCCCAAAGATCAGCCTGTAGGACATGTAAAAGTATTTAGCAAGGGACGGCAGGAAGGCGGAAAAGACAATTAAAAAATAAGCCACATTGCCGAGATTGAGTGTAAGTGTTAGATCACTCATCGACATATCCCTTTGCTTGGAACAGTTCAAAGCGACCACGCCGTTGGCAAACACTCAATGTGCGACTAATGTGTAGCAAACAAAGGCGACGCAGTCGATTATATCACAGGCAGAGGAGTGAATGAGCTCTAGACTGACTTTCCGCGAGAGGAGAACGCACCAGGCAGCAATTAGAATTTAGAATTGCCACATTTGGCAATGCATCCACGCTAAAATTAGCTTTTGCTGGCAAATGTAAACACACGAAGACAGTGGGCATGAATGCGGAGACAGAAGCGTGATGAGGGCTTTCGGTGGCACACTACCACTGGGTGACTGTATCATTGTGCTGATGTTACCCGATTCGCAAACGTACATTGATATACCGTAGAGCATTTTGCTGAGCATTAGTGCAGCTTCGTACAGAAGTGTCGTTGTCTCAGTGCACGAAATCAGAGATGCTTGAGAGATGCAGTCGTTGTCGCTGTGCCAAGAGTGAGTAGTATAACAGCTGACTGGCAGAACTTTGGTATAGCAATCGGTCTTTGTGACAGCTTCATATGTACACGTCGTCTGGTTCAAAGTTCGAATTTTAGAACTTAGATGTAACAACAAAATCAGCTGTCCACATGTGTCCACCAATAGAATTAGCGACCGTTGAGTTACTTGACGTCAACCGTGCAGAGGCCCTAATAATTGGGCGGCCTCATTCTAGGTAAAGTTGCGATGATGTAGCACAAGAGATGACAAGCAAAAGTGATAATTCCGAGGACAGAGTGAATTGGTGTGTCGACGAAAACAATAAAAGCCAAGTAAAATGTCTTTCTAAACAGTCTAGTGCCAGGCAACCAATCAATTCGCACTGTTGTGTTTGAAATTTAACTCTCTAGTGCGCATGCCTTAGTGTTGCGCAACAAACAAACCTACTGATAAAATTGCCAGTTCTAAAAGTTATATGATGCAATTTGAAAATAAAGGGCCATCTGATTCTGTATGTATTTTTACAATCATCCTAATTTTTTTTATGCGAATACGTTTGTGGGAATGAGCAAACAGTATCATCATCGTCTTAAATGATACAAATGACTGCCTAAACAAACTCAACGTTTTGAAAACAAAGTATGGCGCCAATTTTGAATGGCGAGGGAGAGAGAGCGAGCCAGTGAGTGAAAGTGATCCAGTGGAGGAGGCATGTCGAAAGACATGTGCGAGGGAAGCCAGTGCTGACCAAACTTGGCCATCGGCGTGTGCAGCCAATTGAAAATGAAGTCACCGGCAGCAAATGGCCACTAATGAACTGATGGCTGCGAATGGAAGTCCTGCACCATGGCACCACCACCATCACCACCACCATCCCACGGAGTAGTGATGCGTCGAGGTCAGCTGCTGCGGCTGCACCTGAGCTGCGCTAAAGCTGAGCTGTGCCCAACGGCACTGTGGCCAGTTAACTGTACAGCGTGAGGAGGCCAGTGGCCTACAGACGGAGGAGGCAAACATCGCCAGAATAGACCGGTGATACGGCAATGGCAGTGCTGCACTGGCTGCACAGCTCGGAATGCGGGAGAGTCTCGCTGCGCCGCGCGAGAGACCTGTCAAACTTGTTGCGGTTGTCTATGTCAGTCGCTGTCTGTGCTCTCTGTAGTCTGTGTGTATGTGTGTGTTTGTCCGCTGGCTGATGCTGTCGGTGGCCATGGCCGTGCACTCTTCATCGGTTCAATCGCATTTGCCACGCGCTCCTCGCACTCTTTTCGGACGCTCGGAGAAGAGTTGATCGGGTCGGTCGATGCACCTGTGTGTTCCACCAGTGTTTGTGCTACTTCCTCTACAATGTTTGTGAGTCGTCGTACAATGTGCGCCAAATAGCTTCCGACTAGAGAAGCTCCCTCCAACGATGGAGACCTCAGTGCCTCCGCTAAAAAGTCCACCTGTTGATGCCTTTCACAATGAAAACGTCTGGATCGACATTCAGCTGAAAACCTTCACCAATTGGGTTAATGAACAGCTCAAGCCGACTGGTCTGACGATCCACAACTTACAGGTGGACTTTGCCAATGGCCTTCTCCTGATTGCCCTTGTTGAGTGTCTTCAGAAGCGGTCTTTAAAAAAGATTCGCTCTCCGTTAAACCAACACCAGTTCATCGAAAACGTTCAAATTGCTTTAAATGCCATCGCCTCAGATAACATCAAACTCGTCAACATTGGTAAGTGGTCCTTTCTTTCTTTCTTTCTTTCTTTTAGTTTCTCTCCCTTTTATAACTGAATATTTGCAAACGCCGACACAATCACAGGCAGTGTTGATATTGTGTCGGGCAATTTAAAGCTCATACTCGGCCTGCTATGGCAACTGATCACCCGGTACCAACTGGGCAAAGCCTCAACGCCACCAAAAAAGCTGATGCTCTCCTGGCTGGAAGCTGCCTTGCCAGAGTTTGCCATTAGCAACTTTACCAAAGGTGAATGCACTGTGACTGCACCAGCATAGAGAGCTCATTATAAACTTACTTTTAGATTGGAATAGCGGCATCGCTCTGTCGGCATTAATTGACTTCTGCAAACCCGGGCTTTTTCCCAACTGGCGAAAGCTCAATGCTAAGTTTAGGTTTGCACAAATCCAACCCTTTTCCAATGCGCTTTTAATTAACATTACCTGTAGCGTTCAGAATTGTCACAAAGCTATGCTGATTGCCAAAGAGGAATTTGGCATTCCGATGATCATCACTGCTGAAGATTTGAGCAATCCCAGTTTAGACGAGAAATCAGCCCTCACCTACCTGTCGTATTTTATGAAAGAAAATGGCCCTGGCTATAATCTCATCATGGACTGGCTGCAACGCCTTTTACCCACCAGAAGTATTAGCAATTTAAGTGTAAGTAGTCCAGTCTCTAATTAAAGACACTAGTCTGAATGCCTTTTTTATATTGGGGTTTCCCAACAGACCGACTGGAACAGTGGCATTAACTTTTGTGCCGTCTTAACCCAACTTGGTGCCACCATTGCCGGGCAAGCAAGTCTGAACGGCGATAAGAAGTACTGGGAGCATAATCTAGTACTGGGTTCGTTGATTTTCATTGCCATTTAAGCCCTCTTGTCGTCATTAGTGTGTTTCTTGTCGTCAATTAAACTAACTAGCAATTAGCGCCGCCAAGTCGCTTGGAGTGGAGCCGCCAAACCAACTGAAAGCGAAGCACTTTACTGACCCTAACATCGAGCACATTAGCGTAATGGCCTTTCTAACAAAGCTGATGCAAATCAGCAGCAAGTGCGACAAGCTGCGCATCGTCGGCTTGAATCTCAACAATGTCTTTGTCAACAAAGAGGTTAGTGCGCTTTATGGGTAGACATTCACCACCCGGTACTCATCACTAGTTGTGTGTTACTAGGCCGTCTTCAGCATTGAAATGCTTTGCAGTGACATTGAGCTTGAATGCATTCGCACCGAAGTTCACAGCCCTACGAATAAACTCATTACCTCAGAAATCACAGTTAACAAATTCGGCGGTCATGGAAAGTTCACCCCCATCGAATCTGGAATTCACGATGTTTGTTTTTCCTGTGCATTTCTGTTAATATCATCCGGTAACCCTGACTAATTCTTTTAACAGCTCAAGGTCTACTATAAAGACGAACTGGCGGCAAGGCCACTCAAGATAAAAGTACACCCAGACTTGTCCAATGTCATCTTCTCTGGAATTGAGCCATGTTCAGTGGGTTCACTCGTTGAAGTGGTCGTAAGTGACTGGTTAGTTTGTAACGGATGCTTGAATACTCAGTTTCCTTAATCCACTAGATCAACTCTAATGGAGCTGGCTCATCAGACGTCAATGTGATTGCACTTAGCTCCACAAACAGAGAGCTGGAGTGTAAGTTGAGTGAAAAGGACAACTCACTTATTGCCAACTTTATTCCCGACGAAATTGGTTAGTGTGAAGGCGACAAAAGTGCTTGCTCTAAAATATGTGAGTAATATAATTTAACTTTAGGCGAGTGGCGAATTGCAATCACTTACTCAGGCGAGCACATCAACGGCAGTCCCTTTCCATGCTTGGTTTACGACAGCAACAAAGTTTTTGTGCACCTCAGCGAGAAAGTGGTCGCCCGACAAGAGTCATTCTTCTCCATTGACACACGGCAAGCAGGCTGGGGTGACTTGAACGTCAAGGTGGAGTGCGCCCACAATGGATGCCTGGTGCCTATTAAGGTGGACGAGCGCGGCAATGGCACCTACAACCTGGCCTTTGTTCCCGAGTTTCCCGGAAAGTACCTCGTCTCTGTCACCTTCAACCAACAGCCAGTTCCTGCTAGCCCTTTCAAGATCTACGCAGTGGATGGCAAAATAAATGATCCCTTCCATGCACGAGAGGACATTTCAGCGTATCAGGAGATGCATTACGAAAACGATCTTTCCCAAGCCGGAAATGGCGTTGGTGAATTTGCCCTAAACAAAGGCACTGTGCCAAACTGTCCTTTCAAGTACGACGTCGCTCCATCCAAGCCTGAAAAAACTGTTTTCAACATTGAAACACTGGACAACTTTAAAGTGAACCAGCCTACATTTTTTGACATTCGACTAAATGACGCCTCATTTGACAAGGACGATTTAAGTGCCTCCATTGTCGATCATCAGAATCAACCCGTTTCCCATCGAATTGTAGCTGAATCAAGGCATCTCTTTCGAGTGCATTTTAGTGTTTCAGTAATCGGCAACTACCACTTTAAAGTTTTCCTGGGAAATACTTCACTGATTCACTCTTTCACTGCAAAAGCATACGACATTTCCAAAATTTTAATTAGCGACATACCAAAGAGAATCGCTATTGGTCAAAAGTGCTGCTTTCAAGGTAGATGTTCTTCTTTTTATTATATGCAGTTTACCTAATTATTTGTTTTTTATTAGTGGACGCTTCAAACGCTGGAGAAGGGCAGCTGGAGATTGCTGTCAATGACGGAGAGGTGCCCAATCAAGTGCAAGTTTTGGGCAATGGAAAGTGCTTGATCAGTTTTATGCCTGAACTCGTCATGCCACATGTTGTAGACATCAAGTTCAATAACGAAAATGTTGTTGGTAAGCAGTTGCACGCTGTTATCTAAATCTAAAGATGCTGAATACTGCTTTCTTTTCCATCAGGATGTCCATTCCTATGTGAAGTTGATGAGTTTCCTGAACTTAAATTTGACATTTCTCAAATTGAACTCGTTCAAGTTGGTCTTCCGAATTGCCTCAAGATTGTTAGCAATACTGTTCTGGACAAGCAGATTTTCGTTATAAAAATCGCTGCTCCAAGTGGAAATCTTGTTCCACTGAATGTCGCATACGGCAAAGTTATGACCTGCGAGTTTATTGCCACCGAAGTTGGACCCCACCTAATGTACATGGAGTACTGTTCCAAATTGGTCACCGAGAAACCTCTGACCATTAAGAGCTTTGATCCAAGCAAAGTGACTATAACTCCAGCTGTTAATGGCTACGTCAACAAGCCTGTACAGTTTGTGGTTGATGCTACCTTTGCCGGCGAAGGCAATCTGGAAATATCCGTCATTTCAAATGAGAAAAACGTTCCTACTCAAGTGCAGCCAATGGGAGGTGCCAAATTTGGGGTTACTTTTACCCCGACTCAGCCATTGGACCACATTGTCTCGATCACTTTTAATAATATCGCCGTCAATGGTTTGTTAAAAACGGTGTTTTTTGCTTTTTATAATTCTAACACAAGTATTCTTGTGCAGATAACCCATTTTCAGTGAACATTCTCTCGTCTACTGATAAACCCATCATCACTGGGCCTGCGCTTCATTTTTCTCCGGTGGACCAAATTGCAAAGCTAACCATTCATAATGTGGACTCAGAAAATGACATTATTGCCAAAGTTCAAGGTTTGCTATTCAGTCCAAAGTATCAATTTTTGTTTATAACTGAGCGTTACTTACTTAGACGGAAATAACCAGGTGGTTTCAGTCAATATGATTAAAGACATTTCAAATAGATGCGTTCATTTGGAGTTTTTGCCCAAATTGCCAGGTAAAAACGCCATTTAAATTGATTCTGGAGTATTTAACATTGTACTAACTGATATTTTTTAAACAGGGGAGTACAAAGTGCAAATCAAGTACAAAGGAGAACACATTCAAAAATCACCGTTTGCGACAAAAATTTACGATATTAGAAAAATCAAAGTAAAAGATGTTCCTAGTGAAATATGTCTTGGAAAACCTGTAACATTTTTAGGTAACTCTATTTGTACTTTTCTTTTAAAGTTTGTCAACTAATTCTTCTTTGCAGTCGAGGCTACAAATGCCGGTCCAGGAAACCTGGAAGTAATTGTCAACAATGGAAAAGTGCCATCAACGCCAAAGTCGTTAGCTCCGAGTATTTACGCCATAACATTCGTGCCTACCGAAACTGAAGTTCACGTTATTGAAATTAAGTTTAATGGTAAAAATGTTGAAAGTAAGTTGTTTTTATTTTTTTAAATTATGCCTTTACTACTAATAAATGTACTTTTAGATTCTCCTTTTCGGTGCAATATACTCGATAGTGATAAAGTGATGATCAAGAGGCTAGAAAAGGTAGCCGTCAACAAAGTGGCTCAGTTCTCTGTCGATACCAACGGTGGATTACTAAATGAAAATTCTGTCATCATTTTGGGTAATATTTCTCAATCTTGTTAGTGCAACTTGTAACATTGACTACTTGCTTACTCAAAGGGCCCTCGCATCAAAACTTGAAGCCTATTTTGCTTGGCGATCACCTAAACGGATATCAAATTCAGTTTAACCCAATTGAAGTAGGTGACCACGCGATTGATGTCAAAATCGGTGGCAATTCCATCCCGGGATGTCCATTTCTTGTCAAAGTCTACGATGCCAAGATGGTTAAGGTGACGGACATTAAAGACGGCATTGTAGGAAAACCAATTTACTTTACAAGTATGTAGCCTTTAGAGCAGTCGTTCGCGTATTAACCACTTATTTTTGTTACAGTTGATGCGAGCATGGCGGGGGCTGGAAACTTGGAAATTATTGTTTCTTCGAATGGTCGAAATGTGCCAAACTATGTACAGTCGGAGGGGAATGCACGATTCAAAGTGAACTTTAAGCCAACCGAAGTCAATCTTCACGTGAGTTTTTGATGTTTTGTGAATTTTTATACTGATTATAGTTCTTGTTCAATAGAACATAAGCTGCAAGTTTAATGGAGAACCAGTTCCAGGAAGTCCTTTTGTGGTGCAAATAGTAGAGAGTGAAGATTCCTTTGGATCACTCATTTCCGAGTCTGTTCTAAAGAATGTCTCACTAAACAAGGGGATTGATTTCAGAATTGAAAATCGAAANGATAGTAGAGAGTGAAGATTCCTTTGGATCACTCATTTCCGAGTCTGTTCTGAAGAATGTCTCACTAAACAAGGGGATTGATTTCAGAATTGAAAATCGAAATAATGAAGCCAATCAGTGTAAAATCACAATAACAAGTTAGTAACAAGCAAATTTTGTCCACAAACTCAATCTAATCTTATTACTTTTTTCAGCACCTTCAAACAAAAAAGTCTCGCCAAATATCTCCAAAACTTCAAACTACTTTAAAATCAACTTTGTGCCATTTGAAGTTGGTCCTCACCAGATTAACGTTTTACTCGATTCTGCACCTGTTCCCGGCTGTCCCTTCACTTGCAATGTGTATGACGTGAAGCGAATTAAAGTGGCTGGGCTGACCAACTGTCATGTCGGAAAGCCGTTTACTTTTCTCGGTATGTTGCACACAGCTGATCAGTTGACTGTACAGCTCATGTGAATACTTGTTTACTTTAGTTGATGCCTCGCAAGCTGGAGAAGGAACTCTTGAGCTGGTCGTTTCTACCAAGACTGCCTCTGTTCGTGCCGAAGTATTAATGCGAAGTCGAGGCTTGTATGATGTCACCTTCTGTCCACAAGAATGTGTGCCTCACTTTTTAAGTATGACCTTCAACGAGGAAGTTGTGCCTTGTAGTCCATTTGAAATTAATGTCAACAAAGCGCCAAATGTGCCGGCAATCGAAGAAAAGAAGCAGAGCTTGATTGGCATTGTTGATCAGGTGAATGCTATCAACTTTAAAGCTTCTCCTATGGCAATTTTAACCTCGAGCATAACAGGTAAGGCCATCACAGTTTAAAAGATCACTATTTGCTAACAACATTTTTCAGGTCCAAATAAAAACAAACTTATGGGATCAATTATTACGGTTGATGAGGAGAATTATAAGCTTGAATATTTACCAAAAGAAGTGGGTCGCTACAAAATTGATGTTCTTCAGCATGACAAACCTATTTGGAGTAAGCCAACATTTGTTGATGTTTGTGATCCAAAGAAAATTAGAGTTTCGCCTTTAAGTAATTGTCTTCAAGGAAAAGAATGCCAACTTGACGGTATGTTATTTTGATGATGGCTGTCTTCTTAACTGAAGTTTCTCTTGTCTTTTAGTTGATGCGACACGAGCTGGCTTTGGAGAGTTGACTGTGAGAGTAACAGCCGGTGAAATCGTAGTCCCGCACACTTTAAAAGAAAATGCTCCCAAAATGTACAGCATCTACTTTACACCACAGTCCGATTTAGTACATCAAGTGGAAGCTCGATTCAACGAATATTCAGTTCCCGGTTCACCCTTTTGTCTGAATGTTCAGGCACATCTTGAGTCAATCATCATTTATGGAGATGGTCTCAAGAGTGCTTGTCCCAACAAGAAGGCGGTCTTTTTCATTGAAACTGACGAAGTATCTGCCAATGAGTTTGACATTGTAGTGAGCGAACCGAATCGGTCGCCGCTGCCTGTCAAATGTTTTCAGCAGAAGAATGGCTGTCTTCTGGTGGAGTGGACGCCGAAGAAGATAGGCTCGCACAAAATTGAAGTTTTTCACAGTGACAAGCCTGTCATTGGGTCACCGTTCAACTGCGAAGTGTTTGACGCATCAAAAGTGAAAATTGAACTTGTTGAACCGACAAACTTTGTCATTAACAAGAAAATCAAATGGCTATGTACGTATTTGGTGATTACCCGTAAACAATATATTGACAGTTTTTCTATCTACTAGTGAATCGGAAAAATGCTGGCTACGCAGAGCTAGATGTGACGGTCACTAGTCCACTTGGCCGACATCTGCCAATCGAAGTTACTGGAATGGAAAACGGCGAGGGAGAACTCATTGAGCTACCACAAGGGCCTACTCTTCCTGGACTGTACAGCATTTTCATCACCTATGGTGGCATAGAAATTGCCGATAGTCCAATCACTTTTGTCGCACAAGAGAGCATTCTTCCAAAGTTGTCGGGCACTGGCTTGAGTCGGGGAGTTTTCAACGAGCCATGTTCCTTTATCATTGATGCCAAAGATATTTATGGTTCGCCTGAAATTAAAATTGACGGTAAGTTTATTTCACAAAATTAACTACACCTTAATTACTACTACTTTGGTTTCAGGACCTGAAAGCGATACATCGTTTTCAATTGAAAAGTGTAATGACATCTACAAGGTCACATATATTCCACTTGAAATTGGCGTTTTTGATATTAAAATCCTCTGGAATGGTCAAGAGATTCCAAGTACGTTAAATACCTTATCCTTTCAATATGGCACTCTAACGTTAATTTGTTATTCTTTAAACAGATAGTCCATTTCATCCTCACATTGTCAACTTGGAAAAAGTCAGGCTGATTGGCGGCTGGGACCATGTACTGGACAGTGAAAATCGACTGACAATGTGCTTGGGAGAAGAGCGAAAGTTTATATTTGACATAAGTGAAGCAGGTCCGGGCAAACTAACTACATTTTCAAAACCAAAGAGTAGCACTTTGCTTGAGGAGATTCCTCTAGAGCAGACAGGTGCCTACAAATTCAGGCTAGCATTCAAGCCCAAAGCGTGTGGTAAGTATTTCGGTGAAATAAATGATGAACAAACTAACTGTAATTGTAATTCATCCAAAGGTGACTACGAGCTCTTTGTATACTTTGAAAATTTGCTTTTACCAAAGATGCCAATTCAAACCGTTGTCAGTGAGAACACCTCTGACGGTGCAACTGTAGTGCTGAAAGGTCACGGACTGGCTGGAGCTCGAGTCGGTGAGGAGACGGAAATTATTATTGACGGTAAAGATGCAGGTGATGGCGAGCCCGAGGTCACTTTGACTGGGGTCAAATCGGACATCAAAGTAAAGCTGAACTGTGTTGGTCCCCGACTGTACAAAGCCGTGTACACGCCTCGGCTACCAGGTGAGAGTTCTGGATGTTCAAAGTTGTGCCTAAATGTAATTTGTTTGTGTCACTTTTGCAGGAACTTACCTTTTGAATGTTCTGTGGAATCAAAAGCAAGTGAAAGGGTGTCCACTGAAGATATCCATTTTGCCCAGCTGTGACGCTAAACGAGTTCTCTGCACGGGGGAAGGTTTAAAGGGTGGCACGATTGGCAAAGAAATTAAAGCGTTCATTGACACTCGCCGCGCAGGACCTGGTAAATGTGTTTAGGTCGCAGCAATGTTTGACTTTTGCTAATGACTGGCTTTCCTAACAGGCGAACTTAGTGCCCACTGTATGGGTCCACTTAAGGCGGCCATTTGTGAGTTGTACGATCAGAACGACGGCACATTCACTCTGCTGTTGCATCCACAAGAAGGTGGAAAGCATACGTTGAACATCAAATACGGCGGTCAACATGTCATCGGTTCTCCTTTTTCGCTGAAAATATACTCTGCCCCTGATGCGTCAAAGGTGAAAGTAGTTGGCCCTGGTATAGAGCACGGTGTTTTGCCCATTTATCAAAGCCACTTTGTGTGTGACACGAGAGGGGCTGGAGCCGGCCAGCTGACTGTTAGAATACGAGGCCCTAAAGGTATGTCATTCGCTAAAACGTTTTCCTAGCATTACTATTTATCTTTTTCATCATTTTGCAGGGGCTTTTCGTGTTGAAATGCAGCGAGAAAATCAAAAGGATCGGACGATATTCTGCAAATATGATCCCACCGAACCAGGCGACTATCGAATTGAAGTGAAGTGGGCAGGCGAGAATGTGCCCGGCTCGCCATTCTTCGTAATGATCTTTGACACTCAGGATGAACTAAATCGCTACCAGCACAACGGATACAGTAATCCACTCGTTTCTTTGCCACCCCTGAACGCCATTGAGAGAATGAACGGACCAAGCTACTCGGAAGACTGGAAGCAAATGTCATGGAAAGGCTCTACAGCAGACCTCTAATTTTTTTGTACAGAAGTGACCTCATTCCATTTTTTTAATTTCTGAATCTCAAACAATTTTTAATTTATTGTCTTTTTATTTATTTATTTCCCGTTGTTTGAGTTTTTCAAATTTTATTGTAAATACTTGAGAATAAATTTTATTTCAGTTGAACAGTTCGAATTGCCATCTAAGTAATGCCATCTAGAGAACAATGTCTAAAATAATGCAGTCAAGTTTTTTCCAAGTGAGAATTTTTACCTGAGTGAGAGTGAGTCAATCCAATTTACATTCACCGTTGTGTCAGCATCGTAAACTTTAAAGTGTTGCTGGTGCCACATTGCACTCACATCATCATTGACCATGGTGAACAATGGACCCATTCTTCGAAAGATCTTCATTCAAAGGGACTACAGCCAGGGAACTGGAATCCGCTTTCAGTCCAAATTCCCTCAAGAACTTGAAGGAATCGTAAGTGGAAGTCCTTGTTGCCAAATATTAGAGTATTGCTCATACTTTTGTTACACTTAGATAAGCAACCAAATTTTTATCAACTTTATTGAGATGCTAAACGCCATGTATTCGGAAGCAGAACAAATGGATGGAAGAGTTTGTTGCGAGAGCTGCTTTGCTTGTCTCACTGCTTACCTATCGTACATATGCTTTGAATCATATTTTGACAAGGTAAGTTTTCATTTTTTATTCGGTATTTTATTCATTTTCCACATTCTTTCAGTGTTTGAAACGAATATCTGCATTTATTGAAGAACAAAATGATACAGTTTTTAAGCCTCGTGGAGTTTACATCGTGGATCCTATTGACCGAGGACTACGTGTCATCGAGATAATAGTCAACGAACAACGCATTCACGCATCTTAAAAGACAACTTTTTTGCAAATAGTGCCATTTTATCGACAGTTTTAATCATTTTCCTCATTATTTTTGACACTTTTTGATTAAAGTGTAATTATTATTTATTTTTGTAAATACCCAACACATAATCTTGTCACAATTGTAAATAACAAGTTCAACGCATACTTGAAAGCCAATAAATAAAAATTTTTTAACGTAACTTTTCATTTATAAGTTTCAGATTACCAAGAAATCTTTCTGAGTATAGGCTTTTGTTCTGAATGGCTAAACTTGTCTACAATATTCTTGTATTACAAGAAGCCTTTTTAGTTGAAACCTGCCCGGAATTCAGAGCACGAGGAGACGTTTCACTACTCTCGGAAAGGTGTCGCTAAAGTCTGCAATATTTTTTAACCAAAAAATCGCACTCTGTTCTACAGTCGGCTTGTAATGTTTTTATTTTGTAATCAACCAGTTCATAAAACGCTCATCATCCAAGAATCATCAAACTGGACACCACACTCATCTTGAACAACAGATACCTCGGCAGGCTTGAGCATGACTTTGTTGGAACAGTGNATCGCACTCTGTTCTACAGTCGGCTTGTAATGTTTTTATTTTGTAATCAACCAGTTCATAAAACGCTCATCATCCCCAAGAATCATCAAACTGGACGCCACACTTATCTTGAACAACAGATACCTCGGCAGGCTTGAGCATGACTTTGTTGGAACAGTGAAAGAGGAGGTGACAGCCTTCCTGGACAATCACAGGTCTTCCCAACAAGATAAAGCTTTACTGGTGTTTCCCGCATCGCTCTCATCAAAATATCGCTACATTCTCCACGAGGTAGTGTCACAGCTGTTCAGTGACTTTAAGATTTCAACCGTTTCTGTGGGACGAGACAACCGTCGCCGTACCTGTCTATTCTTCACTGATGTTATTTCTCAGCTGAAAATGTCGCAAAGCACTGAAACAGCTGTCGATGTGAAGGCATCCGAATCGAGTGATTCATCAGAAAGCAAGGCAAAGGCTTCTAAAAAGCAGAAAAGACCTGACAAGCCACTGTACGTTCCACCTGGCAGTAAAAGCTCCAAATCTAGTGATTCTGAAAGTACTGGCAGTCAGTCAAAGCCTGACAAAGATAAAGACAAGTCTTGCAAGGAAAACAATGAGCCTAGTTGGGATTCTCTGTACGACGACAGTGGAGATGTGATCGACAACGAATTTGTTAAAGAATTAAACTCCGAGCTTGAAATCCGAGCTGTCCGTGATCAACTTACCGCGACGACGCTTGATTATTCCAAATTCACGACGAATGAGTGGAGCGATGAATCACAGCCTGAGACCGGCACCGTACTAGAAGTCTATGATTTCGTGAGTGACCTCAAAACTCGAGACCTAATCATGAGTATATCATCTACCAAGTAAGTCACCTTTCTTTTTTTGTGAACAACATGCTCATTATTTTGAGTTTACAGTTCCAAAAACTTTGATATCGATTGGGTGGATGACACCCACTGCTTGGTAATATTCAATTCAAGCGCACAAGCATCGGAGGCGCTCAGTAAAGTTTATCCAAATTTAAAGTTGCGACCAATAAGTCAGGGCACCAAAGAATCTCAGTCGAAAGCTCAAAAGAGAGGTACGTTCTTTTTATAAATTAAAAAAGGAGTTGAATTTCATAAAAAGTTTCCACTATGTTTAGCTGAAAGCAAGTTATCAAAAAAGCCTAGACCTCGACCTGAAACGACTACTTTGCTGGCCAGAAGACTGGTTGCGGGTGCCCTGGGAATTAAAGCAGATATGGATCCAGAGCAGAGGAAAGCTGAGCGAGAAAAGCTTCGTTTGGCCAAAGGTGAGTGAGATTGTATGGTTTAGAATATTGTACTTATCATCTCGTAACATTTGCAGAAAAAAAACAACAGGTGCAAAAGAATGTAAAAAATATCTGGGATGGAAACGTTTCTTAATTGCAATTCTCATCTTTACATGTACATATTGCTGCTACCGACTGTACAATAAATGTACGTATTTGTTTGTTAAACGGTTGATAGTCATAGCTTAGATGCATATTAACGATAACTATACATTTTAAAATAAAAAGATATTGATTTTCACTTTGATTCAGCAAAATAGTGCTTTATTTACATTACAACAAGTAAAATTGTGTGGGATAAGGCACAACAGTAGCAAAAAATTGTGTTTGTGTGTGGTAGTCGCAGGTGACTAAAAGGCAACTTGACGAGCAATCGAATGCTGTGAAGGTTTGTATTTTATAATTAAAATATATAAAAAAAATTATATATTATATTCATCTTTTTTCAGTGGGCCTCACTATTCCCATCAACATGTGGAAAGTACGCGAAATATACGACAAGGCGTAAGTCTTTTTCTAAAATCTTGTTTACCCCGGCAACTAAACAACCCCAACAGGACCAATATCGTCATGAACTACACCGAGGTGGAGGTTAGATTGTACAAGGGCTCAGTTACGCTCGCTTCGCTCGCCACTAACCATTTTACTGTTTATCAGTTTTTAAAATAAAAAGGGCTCAGTAGCTCGCTTCTCTCACTACTAACTTTTCTCAAACAATGTTGTGGTAATTTAAGTAAAAAGTACAAAAAATACATACAATTACTGGCAGAAAATCAAGAAAAACAGGAGAAAAGTCTGGCAAGCCAGGACTCCAAAGAACCTTTTTTTTATTGCATTGCTAGGACTTTGTGGACTTTAGTCGTGCAAGCTAGGACTATCAAATTATTTTACCGCAGATTTCTAGCGTAACTTGACCACTATTAACTTCTGTTTCCTCGAGCCTTGCTCGTTTTGCTCGCAGGCCCTTTGTGAACGAAAGATAACAGTAGTCAAGTCACAACAAACCTCGCGGATTTTATCTGTGCATCAATAAAAACTCGCAATTACTTTAGTGTCAACTGAATTTAACGGGCGCCAGAGTCAAAATCTCGAAACAATAATCTTGCAAAAAAATCGCGCGTCTAAAACCTTGAAAATCTTTTTGAACCCTTCCTGTTTTGCTCGCAAGTCCCTCGTCGACCGAAGTTAACAGTGGTCAAGTGTGGCGGGTGGATTTGCCACCGCCAAGTATGTAAGTTGTCCGCCTTAAGCAGACGCGGTTGGGAATCGGTAGAAGTGTTTATGTATTGAGGATAAAGGTTCCCGTAATGGAGGGAATGAATGAGGATAAAGGAATAAGAGATTGGTGAAGAAGAAGTGGAGAGAGTCTCTCTAGGGATTTGGGGATGAAGATGGCCTAGAAGAGGATGACCATGCTCGATCGCGGTGTCGCTAGAAGTGTCTGTGTCATCGAGCAGCGTGCTCCTCCAAACGTCGGACAGCGTCCATATCGACTGCGGCAGTCTCTCCTGTCTGTTCGGCTATTTCACCGTCGGCACCGATAAGCGACTTGGCCACATTGGCCACAGTCAAGTCACGTCAAACCTCGCAAAATGTAGGCGTGCACAGCTAACAAATGTTGATCATTCGTAAGTGTAGGCGAACTCTTTTGCGATCAGCTCAATATTCTGCTTTTGCGGTTTGGTGACCGGCTGGATAAAACGCTTCCAGTTTGAGTTGTTCTCGTTCTTCTGATTCAGCAGCACCGCCTTCGAGATGAAAATGTGCAGGTAGTTCTTGGCGCTGTAGGCGATCTGCGACAAAAAGTACAGCTCATTCTTAAAAGAGGTAATGACGCCCTCAATTGGTCCAGTTTGCGTTTTTGAGGGAATAGACTTGCGGGAGAAAACGGCCAGGCGGCGAGCGCCGCCGCCGTCGTCAGCAAGGCTCTTTTCCAGGTAAAAGTAATTGACGGGCAGCAAGGTCAGGGCGAGAGTAAACACCGGCACGTCGCTGATGACGTTGTTCACGATTTTCCTGCAGCACCTTTTCTTAGATTACCGGCACAAATGAACCCACAATGTGCTCGTTTTCTTTTTCCTGGCTGCTGTTAAGATTGTTAAAGAAGCAGTTAGTGTTCTTGGAAGTAAGCAGACTGCCGCAGTAGCCACTTCCGTTGACATCGTTGACAATAAAGTTTGCTTGATGAGAAGTTTGGTAGTGGTGATGCATTTGGTAGTGCTCCTGGAGTTTTGGCGAAGCTTTCTTGACGACTGTTCACTTGGACGACTGAAAACAGAATTACTGCTTGGCTGTTGTTGACTATGATGCTGTTGCAGTTGCAGCTGACTATTGTGGCTAAAAGCGGAGTACGCAAAAGACAGTGATATTTGCTGCTGACTACTGGAGTTGGCTGGTATGTTTGGGTTGAGCGAAAAAAGAGGAGAAGGTGGTAGTGGTGGTAGTCGAACAGAACGTACCGTTGGTTACAGCCACGTCAGAGATGTTGTTGTCAGTGCCGGTGGAAATGGAGGTTACCATCAATACTGCCAGCGTTTGTCTGTTGAATTTTGGTCATCAGGTGTGAGTTATGAGCACTGCCGACGTTTTTTGATAAAACCGGCAATGGTGTTGATGGCGTTTTCGTTAAAGAGAGCCACTGCCGTTGTTGCTGCACCAGCAACATTTTCTAACTCAGGAGATCCTAAGCCACCAGCGTCAAAAACCGCCTCTCCATTTAAAGTGCTGGGTAACTCCACAGAAAAAACTCCAAAAAAGCCCATCTAAGGTCCTGAAGTGCCATCGCTGACCAGCAGACCAAGGCTGTAAGAATGAGAAAACTGCTTCTCACCAGATGCAAGAAAAAATCAAAGCTTGAGATCTGATAGTGCTAAAATTGCTGCTGCTACTGTTGTTGCTGCTGCTGAGCAGTCGGACTGGCTAGTGTCAGATGCTGCTGAGTATCTGCAAAAGTCAATGTTGTCGTTGTTGCTAGCACATTGAAGGTGTTGCTGTTCTGTTGTCATTTTTGACAGCAGAATCGATGTCAAATGTCGATTTGGCGGCGTACTTCTGAGTGAAAAAGTGTTTGTAGGTCTAAAGATTCATGAGAGTGATTTACAGACTCGTTTCGCTCGCAAAACTCGAGGCAGCAAAAGTTTAAAGTGGCCAAGAGGTGCCTGACTTCGCCGCCTTGTGCCGTGCACTGCTGAGGAATGCATGTGCAGTCACTGTGCTGGGCAAACACATTGGCTGTAAACAAAATGACACATCTCCTGGTAACTCAAACGGCAATTTATCCAACTCCGCTTGGTCATATCTCGTGCACTGCTAGAATCCTGTAAACATTTAACCGTCAATCTCTAACGTGGCTTGACCACTGTCAACGCCCGTCTCCTCGGGCCCTGCTCGCTGCGCTCGCAGGACCCTCGTCGACGGACGTTGACAGTGGTCAAGCCACGTTAAACCTCGCGGTATTTAGCCGTGCACTGCTAGTATACATTGATCACTTTACCGGCGGCTCACCCGACATCGCTTGGCCA